TTGGGGGTAGCGGAACCCATCTCAAAGTCCAGGGATGTTTGTGAAATGTGAGTGCCTTTGAACAAGTATCGTTGCAGCCCACCAGCACAAGCTACTGACAAGCTAGGGAAACCTCGTAGTGCGGCCTCACGTGGCCCTCTGTCAGCAGGTTCTGGTTGCTCCTGCCGGTCGTAAGCTCTTGCCACCATGTCTCCGATAGATTCACAAGCATGTGCCCGCTCATGCGGGATTAGACTCAATGGGAACTTAGGACTAAGACACCCATCCCACTAATCACGGGGTGTCACCTACAAAAGTGAAGGATTCCCATAGGGGACACCCCCTATAAATCAACCAGGGGTTGATTGATCCAGGTTAACAATACCAGGTATTGACCAACTGGTTGCCCCCCTACATGGAATCCGAGAAGGGGGCCTTTTCCGGTGAAGAGTTGAGGCGAAAATGCCATTGCTTTAGGAGACCCCACCCCACCCCCCCCCCCGAATTGCCCGGCGGATGATTTTATGTTAGCGTGCAAAAGGGGGTGGGGGTGGGGGCTCTTTCGTGCCATGGACACGTGCATTTTGCAGCCAAGAACCCTAAGAAACCAACACTCCAGATGGAAGGTCTTAAGGGTACTCCTTGGCACCCAACTTGCCCGTCCTTCTTCTCCGCCTTAGCCAAGCGCGGCAAGGCGCACCTGCGCTGGACGAGTTCGCGGTTGTGGGCGCTCAATCAAAGAGCCTTTCCAGAGCCTTTCCAGGCCCTTTTTTCAAGCGCTTGAACTGATGTCTGTGTTTACATGGGGGAGCCCTGCTCAATGAGCGTTTCGAGCTGGACATATGTGCCATGCTCATAATGGCCGTCGCCCCTAAAATAGGGGACCCCTGTCATGAGCTGATACCATCCCTGCCAGCCCAAGAGGGTGTCTTCACCATGACACATGTGACATGCTCTGCGAAATTTGCAATAGGTCCAAACACGGACAGAAGACTTGGATCCCTCAGCCAGTTTACCCGGACAGGTGGGCTCGCCGGTAAGCAAACGGCAAGCATTGCCATGGCACAACCTGCTGGGCGGCGCAGGCAGGCCCGGCGAAGCCATAGCATGGCGGCAAGACCGCGTTTGTCGAAACGGCTTGAAGGCTTCAGGGGAGTTGGGCAGGAAGGTTGCTGGGGTGGTTGGCAGTTTGTGACTGGTTAGGTAGTTGTTTGGTGGTTTGGTACTGGTCGACCCGCTGTTGATGGGAATGTGATGGCTAGATGACGGGTGGTGGTGCTGGGCGGTATTTGTAAACAAGTTGTGCAAGCGTGTGCCTGTCCCAGTCATACCGAAGGCGCTTGCAGCTGAGTGGAGCATGTTGCTCAGCTCGAGCACAGGGCGTTGGTCAGTGGGGTAGTTTGGCATGCGCGGGGAAGGGGGCAGTATGGGGGACTCAGCCTTGAAGCGTGGGTAAGGACGCTTGGGCATCTTGATGCCTTGTGCCCCGGCAAGGCTAGTGCCAATGGCTGAGGGGGAACAGGATGCAGTCAAGGAACAGGTGCCGGTCGCGTGCACGTCTCAGCACATGAATTCACGACTTGTTTGTTTTGTTCTCTCTCTCTCTCTCTGTCTCAGAAACCGATACGGGACCTCCCAAACCACCAAGAGAGAGCCCACCCTGATAATTGTGCGCGTTGCTCACACACTTTACCATGATCCTGCACTGGGCAACCCTTGAACTTTGACTCTGACATCATGCAATACCGTGCTCAAAGCGATGGCAGGCCTGAAACGCATCGGTTGATGAAGAAGCACCTCCCGCCACGATCAAGCTCTGAATTTAGCGTTGCAGAAAGGCAAGCACGTCTTGACCGACCCCAAAAACAATCTGAAGCTTGCCACTCAAAGTGGTCTTCCATGGTCGTTCGTGGTCTTTCCAACAAGTGACTAAAGTCCCGCAAGCCGCATGCTTGCTGCTTTTCATCCAGGCCTGCCATCCCAGGCGTAGTGGGCGTGGCCTGTGCCGTCGCTTCGAGTCTGCCCTCCCAAAAACCACCCCCATGACAGCGCTGTCGGCCGCAGAACGTCTTTTCCTGCGGTGCTTTGGCCGCTCGAGATCATCTCGCTTGTTTGCCTGAGCCAGGCGCGCCATACGTGCGGTAGCGCAAAAACCGCCAGCCTGGGCATGTTGGAAGCACCATACACCAGACCAGGTATTCCAAAGTATGCGGCGTGGGCTGGAACGAGCCCCTTGGCTTGCCTACCCAATCTCAAACTCGAGGACATACGAGGACATACATACATACTAAACTAAAACCTGGTTGTATAACGGGTATGCATTGAAGGGATATTCGGGGCCCATACTAATGGCCCATGTGATTTGCTTGGACATATTGTCACCGCGTGGAAGGTCATCCAACTGACTGCCAAGCCCTAAAGATAGAATTTCAACTTGTGCTTTGCCTTTGGTTTGGCATTCCCCCACAATTGAAGAAAGGGTTGCGCGCCTGGTAGCAAAACCCCTATGCTTCTCAAACCCGAGAAATCCCTACAAGGGATTGGCCAGAGCCGCCTTATCGGCAGGACATCACAAAGGTCTGCTTGCGGCTGACGCAGCGGTACTGCCGCACCTCAGTGGAAAGCCACTGCATGCCACTGCCATGAAGAAACCCACAAAGTCGGCTGTCTCTTCTTCAAACCAACCCAAAAAGGGTACCGAGCCTCAGGGCTTGATTCCTTTTCTTCAACCATTTTTCTTTTGAAAGGGAAGCGGCGAAGCTACCCGCCCCGAGGGTACTAGCAACCCATCTGCGTAAAGCACCACCATCGCCAAGCTGGCTTCTTACTTTTCCCCTGATGCATCACGCGAAGAATGGTAAGCAAACGATGGTACTTGAACGGGCTGAAATGAGAACACTCTGCAAGACTAAGCAAAGTTAAGCCCTTCGCCATCTCCAGAATCTCCTCTCCCACGTGATGATCGAAGTTGCCGTTGCCAATGGGCACCTTCCAGACATTTGGCGGAGCGACTCGTTTCGTGATGGTTCGTGAAGCCACCCAGAGCACGTGCAACCCAGCACCTTGCCAGCTACACAAATGTTGGATTCGAATTGGCCGCTGCAACACGAGAGTCTCACCCTTACATTCGCGAATCAAAATCAGCTTTGAATGCAATGACGTTGTTGCCAACCGATGCCTAAATTGCGGGACCTCCTTGAGAAGTCATAGTCCCAGCTCAGCAAACTTTTTGGCGAGGAACTGGTTTTACAAGTCCGGCCCTCTCCAAATTAACCCAAGCAGGGTATGAAGTGAAATCCAAGGGTCATGGGATCACGTGAGCAATGTCCATAATCTAGACAGCTCCTTTTTCTAGCAGCTTGATTTAAGAAATGCCACCTGTCCATGTGGCGTACGCGGAAACAAACATGTCACCTTGGACCATGTCCCCGGCCAAACATATGCCCCTTTCCAGCGATCGCGTTGAGCCCTGACCGCTTAATGGTAAGCAGCCACTACTTGACAAAAGTCGAACATGTTCGGCTTGTCCCATGTGGTTGCACTTGACCCGTTTCACGTTTCAATGGTGATACTGCTTTCCTTCTGGCACGCCTTCGGTCTTCCATGTATAAGCCCGTGGCCATGTTGAATCCAACTGTGGCTGGTGTCCCGTCATTCAGCAGCAGTAGTCAATGATTCGTCAACCCTTTCACCAGAGGTTCATACCATGAGCTCACGGATGGGTATGGATGCTCGTTGGCAACTTTATGACGGACTTCATTCTGGGGACTCATGCAACGAGGCTCCCCATGTTGTATACTTTTCAACCACTCTTCCCCACTTCCAGTTCCAACCACATCGCCCCGACTGGCCAAAACCCACCTCTCCGGTTTCGCCCCTGGCTGGAGAAAAAAAACAACAAATCGCGCACCGCCCCCCGAAACGGACCCGGGGACCGCCCGCGGACCGCCCCGCGTGAAGCGACCCGAAGCGACCGCGCCAGGTAGGGGGAGGCCCCGGTCGTGAGCAGCAGCTGCACCGTGAGGAGGTGAGCAGAGCGACAGGCCACGCTCAGCGCGGAGGAGCCCTCCGCGCCGATATGGTCCTTTGGGCGGTGGGTTGGGGTGGGTTGGGGTAGGTTGGGGTGGGTTGGGGTAGGTTGGGGTGGGTTGGGGTGGGTTGGGGGGGGTAGGGGTTGGAGGTTGGGGTTGGGGGGCGGAGGTTGTTTGGTGGGGGTTGGGGTGGGTTGGTTGGGGTGAGTTGGGGGGGCCAAGGTGGGGTGGTTTGGGGTGAATTGGAGTTGGAGTTGGGAAATCGGGCTGTTGGAGATTTGGCGGCCCGATTAAAAAAAGAGACCAAAAGGAAATATTGTCCAGGGTCATACATGTCAAGGGATGGACCATACAGGGGTCATTCAAAATGAGAATTTCATAGCACAGGCCGTCGTCCTTTTGTAGGGCCAATAGATGGGACAGGTCCATGTGGGATTGGACCTTAGATTCTCAAATTCTGGGCACATATGGGGGTGGGAAACCGACCCCCAACTGCTTCCACTTTGACTGAGTAGAAGTTGTGACTTTCTTCGCGCAACCCTCTAGCAGGAAGTCCATATGAGCTCCAATTCGTTTCACCCATTGACTTTTGGTTCTAGATGGTTGTAGAGGTTTATACAAGCCTTAGCAAAACCCCAAGGCGGCGATGGCCTCTTGCCTCTGCTCTTGTCTCCGCATTGGGATGAAAGTACACGGCGCAATTCCTGTTCCAAGTCGGCAAGTAAACGAAACAACACAAAAGTGGATTCTGCCGATGTGTCACCCAGCTGTAGTGTCTAGTGCCTAGGGTGTGTGGGGAATCTGTGTTGATAGATTGGCCTGAAACCTCTTCCCAAAACCACGGTAGGCCAAGAACGGGTCGGTGAACAGCGAAATGTTGGGTGTCCCAAACAAAGACCCCCAAGATCATTAGCAGTAGCACCTCCTTTTGGATCCAGTCAACAGAGCAACCTCGAAAAAGAACACAAGAAGACAACCCCACGTAGGGTAGCCAGCACCCATGCCCTGAGACGAAGGAGTTGCCGAAACATGCGGCTTCGCATGTCGAGGTTTTGGAAAGGGTCTGAACCAGGCACGAAACAAATGAGATACACCACATGAGCAAAAGCCCATGCACGCCGCCCAGAAAATAAAGTTCGGAACTCCACAAAAACACAACCGACATTTCTTAAAAACGCTGAGTACAGAAAAGGCTCTGGATTGGCGCCTGCACGTAGCAGCTGCCCTAGGCTGCAAAAATATTAAATTTGTGCATTGAGGCGGGGCAAAGCTCTCCCCGCACCCCTCCGTCTCCCTGTGTGAGTGGATTTTGAGGCATGGTTGAGCTTGTGTCGTCGCCGGGGGGGGAATGGGGGTGTACATTATAAGGGGCTGATTGTTGATGGAGGGCCTAGTACTGTGCTCAAGCAAACTGGATGCGTCTTTGTTTCAGGGACTCAAAAAATGCGGTTGTCCTTGCGGTTTTCCTGTAAAACCACCAAACAAGAGGTATCCTTGCCAAAAAAAGACAGACAAACAGCCACGTCGCGTTCATCACGTTTTGCCGACAAGGAGTGCCTCTGCCTTCCTGATGACCTAGTCACAATCAAAACCTAGATCACATATCCAAAACCCACCGTCAAGAATCAAGGCGGCAGATATCCGCACCCATTTACGGTTGGCTCCATCTACCAATTAATTGTGAATCAATTGCTGGGCCTCCCTTCATTAAGACTGAGCGATGAGAAGCTGCAAGAAGCTTTCCAGAGTCTCGTTGCCCTGGTTTTGAGTATGCCACTTGAGTTAGAATCCAAACCTGGTATTGGAATCTACCCCTCAAAGAATCAAAAAAGTATATTCGCCTCGGCCCCCCACAGGCGGGAAGCGGTCACCTCTTCGAGATCCTCCAAAACCCCAAAATCCCTGCTCCAGCTGCAGAAGCCGATCCACGATCAAATCCCTCCAAAACGCGCAGAAACCGGTCAAGAAACCGATCAAATCACCTGTAGAAACCGGACTGCCCATGCAAATTCCCCCACTCTTAGCCGGTCCAACTCCGGCCACATCCCCTAGAAACCTGTCAAAATCCCTTCAAAACCGGTCAAACTCTTCTCCAGAAACCAATCCAATCCCGAAAAAAAAACGTAGAAATCAGACTCCTCTCTAGAAACCTGTCAAATCCTTTTTTTCTTCAGGTCCAACTCCGGCGTCCAAGAAACCAGCAAAGTTCCCCCCGAAAACAAGTCAAACTCACCTTCGCTTGGCCCGCAGAAAGGAGCGTTGGCAGCGATTTTAAGGTTTAAGGGCAAAAACATGCAAAAACTGGGTCCCGCAAAGGTACTTTGAGGGCTACTCCAAATGTGGTTTGGCGGTTCTCGTTCCCTAGCCATTTGGAGACAAGCCTCATTAAATCTCCCTGAAAATTATTTTCCGACTGGTTTGGAGGCAGTGCTTCCCCCTACAACATGCACCCCCCCACAACTGACCCCACCTAGGGAATGTTGACAATGGCACAAATCTTGTTGATTCTAGCCAAGATGGGTTGACCCGCGCGATGGACGTTGATTGATGGAAATTGAGCCAAGGGATCCACAACCAAAACCTGGGTGAGTAGAAGAGTGAGGATCGCCCCCTTGCCATACATTCTATTGTAAACGCTTTGCGCTGCCCGGAAAGTGGCAACAAAACTCCCTCCCCTTTTCCACAACCATCCGGCCAATCTTGGGAAGCCGGGCCCCTAGGATGTACTTTGGGGATACACACATCGCCCCAGTATCCGAAGAAGCTTGTAACTTGCCGGATTGACAAAAAGGCAACCAAAAGGGGATGGGCAAGCTTTGTTCCTTGTCAGACCATGCCCAGAATGTTTCTCAGAATCGGACCGAAGGTCATTTCCTTTGGGCTGCCCTTACAGGGGAACCCTCAAACAAAGACACACCCCTGCGTGTGTGTGCGTGCCTGTGTTTGTGTGTATGTGCATGTGTGCGTTTCTTTTTCAAGGTAGCCGTTCCTTGGGCCCAAGCCAACCCAAGGACTGGTTCCCTCTTTGACGCACAGGGTATCCGCCCGGGGCAGAGACTCGCCAAGTTGCTGCACACCGCCGTTTGTCCGCGGTGCGCCGCCCAGATCAGTGGGGTCCAGCGGTTTTCGTCCAATTCGTCGGGGTTTGCCTGGACGGTTCTGGTAACGGTGGGTTTCAACCACTGTGTAGTGGTTCGCCTGGTTACTGAAACATATGTTGCTGCTGTGCTTCAACATTTGCATCGCCTGATTTCTGACGAGACATCCTCTCCCATGTGGTTTCCATCTACAAACACCAGGGGTTCAGATCCCCAAACAACCAATCCAACACCACCCAAACTAAGGGCAACCTGAAAGGGAAACAAACAGGGAACTCTGACTGGCGAGTTTCTAGGACCCTCGGCCTTCCAGGCAAAGATGGTGCGCAGCACTTTGGCTCCATGGTCTTCCCAGCCGCAGTGCTGCAAGGCCCACATCACTGGGCCTTTGC